GTCTCCCAGGAGGGTCAGGTGGCATTCAGATTTCTGCAAAGTGGTGGGTGTGTTTCCTCTGAGAGAGTCCCAGAATATTCCCTGTCTCAGCTGGGCAGAGAACCTAAGTGCAGTCCATGGAATCTGCTGGAGACCAGGAGTTTCTATCAGGTCTCCAGTGAGCAGAGCTGTCCCAGTCAGGTTCCTGGGATAGTGAGGCTGTTGGCCCCACCCCCAAACCAGTCTCTGGCACTCGCTGATCCTACCTAGCCAGTAGCCTTAGTCTTTGGTGCTATGTCCTCTGAGGGGTGGAAATTCAGGGGAGGAGGGGGTGGCAAGCAGGCTTCCTGAGGGTGTGGCCTGTGTATCCCCGAGGGCAGACTATTTGCCTTTTCCTGGGCTGTGGCTTCAGGGAGGGGTCTGTGCCTTTTAAGAAAAAGGGCAGTTCAGAGATTTTGTTTTGAGGGGGCGGGAGGGGGGGGAGGGGAGATACAATGGCAGGTCTCATCCCCAATGATTCCTACTTTATCATCTCCACAGGCAACTCCAGTCCTGCACTGCCCTCCCTCCACCAAAGCCTTGGGTGAGAAGCTGCAAACAAAACCCTGTGCTCTGAACTAAAACAAAACAAAACAAAACAAAACAAAACAAAACAAAACAAAACAAAACAAGACAAAACAAAACTGTGGCTTATTCTCCAACTGGCTGCAGTCTCCCCAGCAATAGGAAGCCCACCACAGCCTTTCACAGCAGGTGTTACATGGGCTGCTGTTCTTGGCTCTGGTGCTCTGGACCGGAGAGCCCAGCCTGGGGTCCCAGCTTCAATCCTCTCAGGGAAACCCACACACACAGCCCAGAGATTCCTCCTCCTTCTCAACCTGCCACAAAAACCTCCTTCTTGTTCATTATATTCCACAAATAAGTGAGGTCATGTGGTATTTATCTTTCTCTGACTGGCTTATTGCACTTAGTCCACCAAAATTGTTGCAGCCCTAACTGATTTGGCTCAGTAGATAGAGCATCAGCCTGCAGACTCAAGGGTCCCAGGTTCGATTCCGGTCAAGGGCATGTACCTTGATTGTGGGTACATCCCCAATGGGGTGTGTGCAGGAGGCAGGCTGATCAATGTTTCTCTTTCATTGATGTTTCTAACTCTCTATTCCTCTCTCTTCCTCTTTGTAAAAATCAATAAAATATATTTTAAAAATTGTTGCAAATGGTAAGAGTTGTTTTTTTGTTTGTTTGTTTTTGTTTTTTAATAGCAGCATAGTATTCCATTGTGTAGATGTACCACCATTTTTCAACCCACTCATCTGATGATGGGCACTTAGGCTATTTCCAAATCTTAGCTATGGTGAATTGTGTTGCTATGAACATAAGGGTGCAAATATTCTTTCTGATTGGTGTTTCTGGTTTCTTAGGATAAATTCCTATAAGTGGGATTACTAGGTCAAATGAGAGTTCCATTTTTAGTTTTTTGAGGAAACTTTATACTGTTTTCTATAATGGCTGCCCCAGTCTGCATCCCCACCAGCAGTGCATGAGGGTTCCTTTTTCTCCACATCCTAACCAGCACTTGTTGTTTGTGTTAAGTCGAGGCTGGGGGGAAGCCCAGAGCCGATACAACCATCTGCTAGGTGGATGGTGACAAAGCTGGCTAGCAGGCACCTTCCTAGGGCCTTCCTAGACCCCTGGCCCGAAGCAGGAATTCCACCCCTCTCATGCCCTCCGCCCTCCCCTCCCTAAACAGCTGTATAAAAGAAGTACCTATGCCGCCTTTTGGCGCAAACTTCCCTGGCCCACCCTCGGACCAGCGAGCTTCACCCGGGAGTGCAGATTACAACCTCTTCCCTGTTAATCGCCTGGATTCGTGTCTTGCTTCTGCATCACAAATCTCTCAGTTGGGACCTTACATCTTGCTGCGAAACCAGGAAAGGGGTAAGTGCCCTGTGGGACCTTTCCCGGTCTGGGGTGACCCCGTGGCTCAGAAACCCTCAGATTTCTCTCCAGCTCGGTAGCGCCAGAGTCAGAGGTTAAGCCCCAGTCCCTATTGATTTCTAGGGTCATTCTTCCGGCTTCTCTGTCTGTCTGAGTTTGCCTCTGGGCTCTGCCCTCCAGGCCTCCCAGGGAGGTTCAGTTAAGGGCCCTGGGCGAAGACGCTCACCCCCCCTTTGGCTCTCCGGCCTTTTGGCCCTCCGTAGCCATGCCCCAAAGATTGGGACGCCAATCCTTGGGCCTCTGCTACTGTCCCTAGGTGTCAAAATGGGCAACCAAACACCGAGCTTAGGTCCAAAGACCCCACCGGGGGTCTCATCCCCAATCTGGCTAAGCGAGGCCTGTCCCAGGATCTGCATCCTAAACACCTCATTTACTTCTGTAACGTGGCATGGCCTCAGTATGAATTGGACAACGGGTCAAAATGGCCTGAACATGGGACTTTTGATTTTAACGTTCTGACTGACCTCAACAACTTCTGCCAATGAGCTGGGAAGTGGCTGGAGGTTCCATATGTCCAGGCCTTTTTCTGTCTGCACTCCCATCCCTCCCTTTGCTCCTCTTATTCCACTGCCCAGGTTCTCCTAGCTCAGGAGAAACTCCCACTGCCTACCGACACCTCTCCACTTTCTGCCTTATCTGAACCCCTTGAGAATCTTTACTCCCCTCCAACTCGCCCACCTCCTTGCCCCCAGTTTTCTCACCCGCCTCCCCACGACCAGGCTCCTATCGCCCTGCCTCCTTCTGCCCTGCAGTCAGGTTCCTCCCTTCCACCATCCTCACTCCCAGACCTCCCTCCGCCACCCCCTCCCCAAAGCCACCTTCTTTACCTGCTGACCTTCCCCTTCTCCCACCCCCGCCTGCTTCCCCAGTCAGCAGGCACACCCGCTCCTGGGTTCCTCCTCTCCTCTGCCCCCTCAGGGAAGTTGCGGGGGCTGAGGGCGTGGTCAGGGTTCATGTTCCTTTCTCTCTGTCGGATGTCTCCCAGATTGAGAAGCGGCTGGGGTCTTTTTCCACCAACCCCACCAGGAATTTCGATACCTTTCTCAGGCCTATGACCTCACCTGGCATGACATCCATGTCATTCTCTCGTCCACCCTAACATCAGATGAAAGGAAAAGAGTCTTAGGAGCGGCAACGGACCACGCAGATCAGATCCACCTTACAGACGCCTCTATGCCAGTGGGGGCCCAGGCCGTTCCTCGTCAGGAACTGGGCTGGGAGTACCAACTAGATACCCCGAAGGGCGAGACGGGCGCCGAGGTCGAGACCAGATACTCCAATGCCTAATAGTGGGCCTCCATGCCGTCTCCCACAAGGGGACAAGCTGAGGGAAGTTACTCAGGGACCAGATGAGAACCCCGCAGTCTTCCTCAACAGGCTGACGGAGGCTCTGACCTTATATACTCGCCTGGACTCTGGGTCCCCAGTCGGGGCAACTGTTCTAGCCACTCACTTCATTTTGCAGTCAGCCCCAGATATTCGAAAAAAGTTTAAAAATGCAGAAGATGGCCCTCAGACTCCTGTCCGGGATCTGATGAATATGGCATTTAAGGTGTTCAATGCCCGAGAAGAGCAGGCGGAATCAGATCGGGAGGCCCGCCTTCGACAAAAGGTGAATCTGCAAACCCAAGCCTTGGTAGCAGCCCTAAGGCCGGCAGCTGTGCATGGTCCTAGGGGGGCTGTGCGTGATGGGGGTGCAACAAGAAGACGAGCGCCACCTGGAGGATGCTTCAAGTGCGGGAATGAAGGTCACTGGGCTAAAGGATGCCCACAACCCCATGCTCTGACCAAGCCCTGGCCAGCCTGTGGTCAAAGCGGCCACTGGAAAAGTGACTGTCCCTGGAAAAGCCAAGGGCCTTCCGCATCCTTCCAGCTCATTACCCGCCGCTGGCTATGCTGGGACTGGCCGACGGAAGATGCCCGGACTCCTGAGCCCCCATCACCCTCACTGAGCCTCAGGTAAAGCTCCAGGTAGCGGGTAAAATGATCTCCTTTTTGATCGATAAGGGGGGCTACCTTTTCTGACTTGCCCTCTTTTTTCTGGGCCACTTTTCCCTTCCCCAATCTCAGTCATGGGAATTGATGGCAAATCCGCCTGCCCACTGGCCACAGGGCCCCTTCCCTGTCTCCTCGACAATAGCTCTATAACTCACTCGTTCCTAGTCATGCCTTCGTGCCCTGTACCCCTTTCAGGACAAGATATCCTCGTCAAACTAGGGGCCACTCTGCAGCTCACTCAGAGTCCTTCAGCCTCCCTGCTTCTTCCGCTCCTGGCTCCCTCCCTTCCCGGGAACACTGATCCCCCACTGCCTGCGTCCCTTGTCAACCCAAAAGCATGGGACACCTCTACCCCGGTGGTTACTAGGCACCATACCCCGGTGAGGATCAGACTTAAGGACCCCGCCTCGTTTCTCTCCCATCCCCAGTTTCCTATCTCCCTAACTCATCACCGAGGTCTCAAACCTCTCATTACTTGGCTTCTGGGGCAGGGTCTCCTCATACCTATCGACTCTCCCTGCAACACCCCCATCCTCCCCGTTAGGAAGGCGGATGGGACCTACTGGCTGGTGCAGGACCTCTGATTAATCAATGAAGCTGTGGTCCCCATCCACCCGGTGGTCCCCAATCCTTACACTCTCCTTTCCCATGTACCAGCTGGTACTACCCACTTTTCTGCCCTTGACCTCAAAGATGCCTTCTTTACCATCCCTCTGGATCCAGACTCTTACCATCTGTTTGCATTCACTTGGGAGGACCCAGATGAGCAGGTATCCCACCAACTTACCTGGACAGTTCTGCCCCAGGGATTCAGAGACAGCTCTCATCTGTTTGGCCAGGCCTTAACCAGAGATCTCCAACAATGCTCATTAGAACCCAGCACTCTTCTTCAGTATGTAGATGATCTCCTTCTCTGCAGCCCCTCTTTAGACGTTTCTCGAAGGCAGACAGCTGACCTCCTCAACCTTCTGGTGGACAAAGGATACCGTGTGTCTCCTGCCAAGGCGCAACTGTCGGCCCTGTCACTTACTTAGGGATCTGTCTGACTCCCAATTCCCAAGGACTGACAATTGACAGAGCACAGGCGATATGAGACCTACAGCCTCCCACTTCTGCGGAACAGATCTTGTCCTTTCTAGGGCTGGTAGGATTCTTCCACCATTGGGTCCCAAATTTTGCTCTCCTAGCTAAGCCTCTATACCAGGCCGCTAAAGAAACACCAATAGACCCCTCTTTTCACCCTCCCTCGTTCCCCAGGGTTTTTCTAAGCTCCGGGATGCCCTTCTGGCATCTCCCCTCCTCTCTCTCCCGGACATCTCTAAGCCTTTCCAACTATTTACTGATGAGAAACAGGGAATAGCCATGGGGGTCCTCACCCAGCCCCTAGGGCCAGCCTTCACCCCAGTAGCCTACCTGTCCAGACAGCTTGATCCCACAGTTCGGGGATGGCAGCCCTGACTCTGGGCTCTGGCTGCAGCAGCTGCTCTCACCAAGGAGGCCCAGAAGATCTGCCTCCAGCAACCCTTACTGGTCTTCTCCGCCCATAGAGTACAGGATCTTTTGTCCCACTGATCCTTATCTCTCCTTGCCCCCTCTCTCATGCAGGAACTCCATCTCCTGCTCCTTGAGAGTCCTGACATCTCCCTAACCCAGTCCCCAGCCCTGAACCCAGCCACTCTCCTTCCTGCTGCCTCCACCCAACGGATGGCAATGCACTCCTGCCCCGAGGTCGTCGAGGCTCTCACTCAACCTCAGGAGGGACTCTCAGATATCCCTCTCTCTAATCCTGACTTAACTCTGTTTGTGGATGGAAGTGTGACGGTTGGCCTCGTCTGCCCAAGAGATAAGGACTCTGGAGACAGACCAGGCCAGGGGGGAAAAGTTAAAAAAAAAAAAATAAAGTCAGTTGTAACTCAGTGCCGGGAATTCCTTTGTAGTAAGATATGCAGACCTCCCTCCAGACCTGGCTAGGAGATTGGCGTCATCAAAACAGCAGCATCCTGCACTTCTGTTTGAAGTCAGAACAGACATTCTGCTTGAGGGAAAAACAGGCCAGGTTGTGTAAACTACCTGAGAAATAGCTGGGGAAGGCCAGGTCTTTGTCCTGAGGGGCCAATCTGGGAGTGACAGACCCATGGTGGGAGTGGTGGGGAAAAAGAGGTATAAGAGGAGGGACTGCCCCTCCATTCGGGCTCTCACCTGGGTGTTTTGCCGGCTGCTGTGTCAGCCAGATTATGGATTCGAATCTGTAATAAACTCTTGCATGCTTAATCAAATTGGCTCCTGTGGTTCATCTCTTGGGGAACTCGCTTCGTAACAGGAAGCTCGTGTCTAGACCCCCAAGGACGTCGGAAAGCATCCTATGCAGTAGTAATGCTCGAGTGGACCCTGGAGAAGGCCCGGCTCCCGGAGGGTACCACCTCTCAAAAGGCTGAGCTTATTGCACTGACCAGGGCCCTGCATCTGGCCAAAGGGAGGAGGGTAAACATATATACAGACTCTAACTATGCCTTTCTGATAGCCCATTGCCACGTGGTTATTTGGAGGGAGAGGGGCTTTCTCCACTAAAGGCTCACCTATTATTAATGCTAGACTCATAACCCGCTTACTTGATGCCTTACAGCTTCCCTCCCAGGTAGCCATCGTGCACTGCCAAGGCCATCAGACTGACTCCTTGATGGTTTCGCAGGGAAACACCAGAGCAGACGCGGTGGCCAGAGGCTTAACTCAGGGTGAAGGGTCCCCAGCCCTGGTCCTGTTCCTTTCCCTTCCCTCCATTACCCCTCAGTATACAGAAGAAAAGAATAAACTCCTACAACGGGGAGGCTCTTCTGGTCCTGAGGGATGGATCTTCATAAATAACAAGATCGCCCTTCCCAAGGCTCAGGTAGGGACCATTGCCCAGCAGGTCCACCAGTCTTGCACACTGGACCGCTGGCGCTTTGGAGGTTCCTAGAACCCCTCTTCACCTCGCCCACACTGCGAGAGGCAGTCACGAGTGCCTGCTCCTCTTGCTCCACGTGTGCAGCTGTCTCACCCCAGGAATGCGCCCCAACTTTCCTACCCATCAAATGAGGGGACACCTCCCAGGACAGGACTGGCAGGTAGACTTCACCCATATGCCTCCCCACAAGAAGACCAAATATCTGCTCACCATGGTAGACATGCTGACAGGGTGGGTAGAGGCCTTCCCTACCCGCAAGGAAACTGCTGAGGTTGTGGCCGAGACCCTAATAACACATATAATCCCTAGGTTCGGGCTCCCCAACTCCATACAATCAGACAATGGCCCAGCTTTTATATCAAGGGTCATTCAGCAGGTTGGTACCTCACTTGGCATCTCCTGGAAACTGCTCATACACTACAGCCCACAATCATCAGGTAAGGTTGAGAGGGCCAATGGCCTCCTTAAAGACCATCTAACAAAACTCTCTAGAAATTCGCAGCTCCTGGCCGGATCTCCTGCCCATGGCCCTGACCAGAATCCGGGCTACACCAAGGAACCCCACCTTCTTAAACCCTTTTGAACTCCTATTTGGGAGACCCTTCTTGCTCAACCATTGTCTCCCTACTGACCCTCCTCTTCTGGCTACTTATCTTCCATACCTGTCTCCTACTCAGGCAGCTGCTCCGGGAACATGCTGACAGGTTTCTGCCCAGGCCAGAACCAGCTGACCAAGGCTCCTGAGTACCAGCCCTCCAGCCAGGGGACTCAGTCCTCCTTAAGAATCTACATCTGAAGGCCTTGGAGCCCAGGTGGACGGGACCTCACACAGTCATCCTTACAACCCCCACCACAGCCAAACTACTTGGTGATCCATTGTGGCATCACCTCTTCAGACTCAAGAGGACCCCGGAGCAGCATGACTTCTATAAATGTGAGGTGTTGGGCCCCACTAAGGTTCGCCTTAGTGGCCCTCCCTCTCCTCCTTCTCCTCCCAGCCTTGGGCAACCTACACTCACCCCCCCACCTGCTTATGTGTGGAGGTTCAAGGTCCGTGAAACCTATGACCAGGACAGCACACAAGTCACCGGCAGGTAGGATCTCAGGACTGCCCTCTGGTCGGATGCCAGGCAGAGATCCTGATTGCTGTCAACCTCCAGTCAGTGTCCAACGGTGGCCGACCATATGCCTGCTTTGCTTACGACCAGCGGAACCCGGACAGGTGTAATCAAGAAGTCAACACCTATGGGGGTTTCCGCTGGTCAGGTTGTGTCATCCATGATGCCTACAAAGAGGTCAGGTCTGGCCCCTTTCTCTGGAAGGACGGGACCTTCAACATCAGGGTCCGGGATCCCTGGGACCAGCGATGGATTGCGGGCGTTATGGGAAAACTGTATTGGAATGGTTGGAGCCCCACCCCTTCAGGGACCATCTACATCTCCCGGGATATGTCATGGCCCAGGAGGCCCAAATCCAGTTCTCCAATAGCATCCTACAGGCTGAACAGTCCCTTAAAGGGAAGCTGCCTGATTCCCCCTAGGTAGAAGTCCTGTCTTCTTGGCTCCAACTTATCCAATACACTTTACTATTCCTTTTTTTTTTTTTTTTTTTTTTTTGCTGTTACTTATTAAAATATTTTTTTTTATTTTTATTTTTCATATATCTTTTATTTTTATTTATTTTATTTTATTTTATTTTATTTTATTTTATTTTTCCCCCGTCCCTCCCTCCCACACATCCCCTCCCTCCCCAGAGCTTTATGTCCATTGGTTGTACTTATATGCATGTATACAAGTCCTTCAGTTGATCTATTATCTCCTCCAGATCCTCCTCCCCTCCCCGCTGAAATTTGACAATCTGCTTTTTGCTTTACTGTCTCTGTATCTATCTTTTGGTTCATCAGTTTATAATGATCTTTATTATCCACAAATGAGTGAGGTCATGTGGTGTTTCTCTTTCATTGATGGCTTATTTCACTCAGCATGATGTTCTCCAATTCCATCCAGGTTGCTGCAAATGATGAGAATTCCTTCTTTTTTATGGCAGCATAGTATTCCATTGTGTAGATGTACCATGGTTTTTTGATCCAATCATCTGTTGACAGGCACCTAGGCTGTTTCCAAATTCTGGCTATTGTAGATTGTGCTGCTATGAACATAGGGGTGCATATATCCTTTCTGATTGGTGTTTCTAGTTTCTTGGGATATATTCCTAGGAGTGGGATTACTGGATCAAATGGGAGTTCCATTTTCAGTTTTTTGAGGAAATTCCACACTGTTCTCCACAGTGGTTGCACCAGTCTGCATTCCCACCAGCAATGCACGAGGGTTCCTTTTTCTCCGCAACCTCGCCAACACTTGTCGTTTGTTGATTTGTTGATGTTGGCCATTCTGACAGGTGTGAGATGGTACCGCATTGTTGTTTTGATTTGCATCTCTCGGATAATTAGTGACTTTGAGCATGTTTTTATGTGCCTTTTGGCCTTCCTTCTGTCTTCTTTTGAAAATATTCTATTTAGGTCCATTGCCCATTTCTTAATTGGATCATTCACCTTCCTTTTATTTAGTTGTATCAGCTGTCTGTAGATGTTGGAGATTAAACCTTTATCAGTGGTAACATTTGCAAATATGTTCTCCCACACCGTGGGCTTTCTTGTTGTTTTGTTGATGGTTTCTTTTGCTGTAAAAAAGCTTTTTATTTTGATGTAGTCCCATTTGTTTATTTTCTCTTTAGCTTCCATTGCCCTAGGGGCAGTATCAGTGAAGAAGTTCTTTTGGCATACATCTGAGATTTTGCTGCCTGTGGATGCTTCTAGTATTTTTATGGTTTCCCATCTGATGTTTAAGACCTGCATCCATTTTGAGTTTATTTTTGTGTATGGTGTAAGTTGGTGATTTAGTTTCATTCTTTTGCATGTGTCTGCCCAATTTTCCCAACACCATTTATTGAAGAAACTGTCTTGACTCCATTGTATATTCATGCCTCCTTTGTCAAATATTAACTGAGCATAGTGATTTGGGTTGATATCTTGGTTCTCGATTCGATTGCCGGGATCTATATGTCTGTTCTAGTGCCAGTACCAGGCTGTTTTGAGAACAGTGGCTTTGTAATACAGTTTGAAGTCTGGTATTGAGATCCCTCCTACTTTACCCCTCTTTCTCAGGATTGCTGTGGCTATTCGGGGTCTTTTATTGTTCCAAATGAACTTTTGGAGAGTTCTTTCTAGGTCAGTGAAGTATGCCGTTGGTATTTTAATGGGGTGTGCATTGAACCTATAGATTGCTTTAGGAAGTATGGACATTTTGATGATATTGATTCTACCAATCCATGAACATGGTACATTCTTCCATCTGTTTACATCTTCCTCTATCTCTTTTTTCAGTGTCGTGTAGTTTTCTGCTTATAGGTCCTTTACTTCCTTAGTTAAATTTATTCCTAGGTATCTTAATTTTTTTGGTGCGATGGTAAATGGAATTGCTTTTTTAGTCTCTGTTTCTGTAGTTTCACTGTTGGTGTATAGAAATGCCATGGATTTCTTGGCATTAATTTTGTATCCTGTTACATTGCCAAATTCATTTATTAAGTCAATTAGTTTTTTAATGGAGTCTTTTGGGTTTTTTATGTACAATATCATGTCATCTGCAAATAAGGATAACTTTACTTCTTCTTTTCCAATTTGGATGCCTTTTATTTCCTCCTCTTGTCTAATTGCAATGGCTAGTACTTCCAGTACTATGTCAAACAGGAGTGGTGAGAGTGGGCATCCCTGTCTTGTTCCTGTTCTTAGAGGGAATGGTTTTAGTTTTTGCCCATTGAGTATAATGTTGGCCATGGATTTATTATATATGGCTTTTATTATTTTGAGGTATGATCCTTGTACTCCCACCTTGTTAAGAGTTTTTATCAGGAAAGGGTGTTGGATTTTATCAAATGCTTTTTCTGCATCAATTGATATGACTATATGATTTTTATCTTTCAATTTGTTTATGTGATGTATCACATTTATTGATTTGCGGATATTGTACCATCCTTGCATTCCTGGAATAAATCCTACTTGGTCATGGTGTATGATCTTTGTGATGTTCTTCTGGAGACGATTTGCTAGAATTTTGTTGAGGATTTTGGCATCTATGTTCATGAGGGATATTGGCCTGAAATTCTCTTTCATTGAGTTGTCTTTATCTGGTTTTAGTATTAGGGTGATGCTGGCTTCATAGAAGGAGTTTGGAAGTGTTCCTTTCTCTTGGATTTTTTTGAATAGTCTGAGGAGGATAGGTTTTAGTTCTTCCTTGAATGTTTGGTAAAACTCTCCTGTGAAGCCATCTGGCCCTGGGCTTTTGTTTGCTGGAAGCTTTTTGATGACTTTCAATTTCTTCCCAAGACACTGGTCTATTGAGATTTTTAGATTCTTCCTGATTGAGTTTTGGAAGTTTGTATTTTTCTAGGAATATGTCCATTTCCTCCAGGTTGTTCAGTTTGTTGGCATAGAGTTGTTCGTAGTATTTTGTAACAATCTGTTGTATTTCGGTGGGGTCTGTTGTTATTTCACCTCTTTCATTTCTGATTTTGTTTATTTGGTCCTCTCTCTTTGTTTCTTGGTTAGCCTGGCTAGAGGTCCATCTATCTTGTTTATTCTTTCAAAGAACCAGCTCTTGGTTTTGTTGATCTTATGTATTGTTTCTTTGGTCTCTATGTCGTTTACCTCCGCTCTGATTTTTGATATTTCCTTCCTTCTGCTTACACTGGGCTTTTCTTGTTGCTCCTTTTTTAACTCTTTGAGTTGTAGAGTTAGATCATCTGTTACCCTTTTTTCTAGTTTTTTGCAATAGGCTTGTAAGGATATGAACTTCCCTCTCAAAACTGCTTTTGCTGTGTCCCATAGATTTTGGATTGTTGTGTTTTCATTGTCATTTGTTTCCAGGATGTTTTTAATTTCTTCCTTGATTTCTCTGGTAACCCAGTCCTTGTTTAATAGCATGCTGTTTAGTCTCCATGTGTTTGATTTCTTTGGATTATTTTTATTGTAGTTAATTTCCAGTTTTATGCCATTATGGTCTGAGAAGATACTTGATATGATTTCTATCTTCTTGAATTTGAAGAGACTTTGCCTATGTCCCAAAATGTGGTCTATCTTTGAGAATGTCCCATGTGCACTTGAGAAGAATGTACAATATATTCTGTGGCTTTGGGGTGCAGTGTTCTGAAGATGTCAATTAATTCCATCTGGTCTAGTGAGTCATTTAGGATTGATATTTCTTTGCTGATTTTTTGTTTAGATGATTTGTCGAAGGGTGACAGTGGGGTATTAAAATCTCCTACTATGATTGTATTGCTATTAATCTCTCTCTTAATGTCCTCCAGCAGTTTTTTAATGTATTTGGTTGCTCCTGTATTGGGTGCATATATATTTACCAGGGTTATTTCTTCTTGTTGGATTGTTCCCTTTAGTATTATGAAGTGGCCTTCATTATCTCTTATTATGTCCTTCACTCTGAGATCTAATTTGTCAGATATAAGTATTGCTACCCCAGCTTTTTTTCATTTCCCTTTGCCTGGAAAACTTTTTTCCATCCCTTCACCCTCAGTCTGTGTGCATCTCTTTTTCTGAGGTGGGTTTCTTGTAGACAACAGATGTATGGGTCTTGTTTTCTTATCCAATCTGTTACCCTATGTCTTTTGATTGGAGCATTTAATCCATTTACATTTAAGGTTATTATTGATAGGTGCTCATTTGACGCCATTTTTATTCTATACCCGTGTTCCTTCTTCACTTCTTATTTCTTTATTTTTACAGTAGACCCTTTAGCATTTCTTGCATTGCTGGTTTGGTGGAGATAAATTCCTTCAGTCTTTTTTTGTCTGTGAAGCTCCTGATTTCCCTTTCAATTTTGATTGATAGCCTTGCTGGGTACAGTATTCTTGGATTCAGACCCTTACTTTGCATGACTTTGTATATTTCATCCCAGTCCCTTCTGGCCTGATAAGTTTCTGTTGAGAAATCAGTTGCTAGTCTGATGGGGGTTCCTTTGTATGTAACTTTCTGTCTCTGGCTGCTTTTAAGATTCTTACTTTGTCGATGTTGTTTGCCAATTTAATTATAATGTGCCTTGGAGTCTGTCTTCTGGGATTCATTTTGCTTGGGACTCTGCGAGCATCTTGGATTTGTGTGGTTTTTTTCTTCTCTATTTCAGGAAAGTTTTCTGTCATTATTTCTTGAAATACTTTTTCCATGTCTACCTAAGTTTCCTTTCCTTCTGGAACCCCTATTATTCGAATATTATTTTGTTTTGTATTGTCCCAAAGCTCCCGTAGGCTCTCCTCCTGCTTTTTAATCTTTTTTTCTAGAAGTTGCTCTACTTGGATATTTTTTTCCATCTTATCTTCTAGCTCACTGATGCTGTCCTCTGCTTCATCTAGTCTACTCTTGATGCTTTCTATTGAGTTCTTCATGGTAGCGATGTCATTTTTCATTTCTTCTTGGTTCTTCTTCAGTTCCTCATGGCTCTTCTTCAGTTCCTCATGGTTCTTCCTCATTTCTTCTTGGCTATTGTCAAATTTCTCTTCCATTCT